CTTTACCTCCTGTCACTGCAGTTCCTCAGAGCCTCTTATCTCTTCCCCTATGATATCTATCCCTCATTTTCTAGTGGTCCCTCCAAATCTCTAAACACTTTCTTCAAATCTTTACTCCATCTCCTTTTTCTTTAGGCAGAACCAGGATTAAAACAAATGAAAATATTTTTACTGGGTATATGTGTATTTCTAGTTTAGAAAGGGAAACACAGACAACTCTTAGAAATGAGTTAAAATGAAGAGAGAAAACATATGGTAAATGCATTGCATTCAATTCTTATCAAATGCAGACACTTTTACACTGAAATCATAGCAGCTGTGTTTATTCATAATTTATGCATTGGAAAAAAAGTTAAGTAGTGCAGTATGTTTATTTTCATGTCAGCTTGATGTCAAGTTTAAAATATAACATGAGTATCTCTATATGTATTACCTTTTTTCCTAGAGACTCTTTAATATTTAACTATAACCCATATCCTTAATTGTCAGCCTTCATCACAAGTCAATCAGAGCAGTGGTGAACCTCTCATAGACTGTATTGATAGAATGCTCTAAAATATGTTCTAACCAATTAAGGTGAAAAATAAATTTGGTAGCAAAGATCTCAGCTTTGTTGTATTCCACAAGAAGATCTACATTAAAGGAAATAAACACATCACATGTGCAAGAACATACAGGGTTGCTATGGTAACAGACTACATGTTGTATATTTACTATCTAATAGTAGTACATATAAGTTATTACAACCAAATAATGCCTACACCCACTCCCTTCTGATCATATCGAGGTCTCTGGGATGAGTTGTATTTATAGTTCACGGAATTCTCATTTCTTAACCAGTCCTCTTTTGTCTTTTCTAGAAATTATAATTTAAAAACATATAAAATGATTAATATTTGGCATTGGGGTTGTTTGCACTGTCCTTTAACTCATGTAGAAATACTCCCCAAATGTCAAAAGAAACAGAGTAACGTTAAGTGTTGATTTAAACATTTTAAGTATTGGATGTGTGTGTGTGTGTGTGTGTGTGTGTGTGTGTGAGCATTTAGGTAGAAAGAGGTTGTCATGGGGAATGAGGACAATCAAGAAGTTTAGGAAAAGTATTTGGTTTTACGACTTGGGCATATAAAATGAATCTACTTTCCCAAAGCAGTATTTACGTGAACAGTTAAGAAATACCTGCTATCATGAACTATATAATTCTACAATGTTTCACTAAACCTTGATTTTACTATTTATTTCAAAACATAAACCTAGCATTGCCTCTGAGTACATTTAAATCACCATCAATTACTGTAAATAGAACCCCAGCCATACTCTCCTCATTCCATTATATAGAGGACTGGCTTTTCCAGAGTCTCTATGACCTTCCTACCCTTCCTGGCCTGTCATCTTCCAGCCATTTGGAAAATTAACAGCCTGTCAGAATAGTCATGTCTCTCACTATGGACCAACAGAGCACCAATAATGAGGTGCTTCCAAATCAAGTAAACAGGAACCTAATTTGTGGTTGTATCTCTATCATATCAGGATAAGACTGCAAGCTGGACAAGAGAAAATGACTCTCCTAAATGGGCACCTTGGTCACCCAGTGGGCCCTTATACCAGCTTGCAACTTTCTCTTTGGGACTAATTGAAAGAAACATGCATATATTATCCACCCATCCACATATATTCTTTGTCTAATTTAATATAATACATGTGGCTTCATGTTACATTTGATAAACAGGTTTTCTGAAATTTTTTTTTTCAGTTAGAGAAATTCTTTTTCAAAAGCCATAAAAATATACCTTTACTGATGTTTGTATTGCAAATAGTTCATATTCAGTGTCTTCCAGTTGAGGGGAACCACACGGTCATCAGGCAACAAAGATTCTGTGGGAAAAAAAAGGGGGGGGGCAGAATTTTTATCTGTACTGTCACATTTTTACCTTGAGTGTGAAGGTATGCAAACATGGTATCTAGATGACCATAATGGTAAAAGCCAGGTTCTGAAGTTCTTTGTTTTTAATTTTTGTTTTTCTTTTGCTAAAGCAGTAGTTTGTCTCAGACCTTTATCCTCTATTAGTAAGCACTATCCAGACTCAATGGAAATGCTTATGTGACTATATATGTAAAACAGTGTGTTTGGTAGTTCATGCTCTCATTAAATATAACTATAAATATATAACAATAACCAATTATTGAGTTGGCCAAAAAGTTTGTTCGTTTTCCCCCCCCATAAGCTGGCTCTAGTAGTATTTCGTTGTCTTTAAACTCATTCAAAACAATTTTGCTGGCCTGTATTATGACAGGTGTCATATCAGTGTGTATTAAAAAATAACAAAATTGGTGAATTTTTGTGTAGCCATTTTAATATAGAAGATGAAAGAAAATATGCGGCAGTTTTGGCACATTATGTTTTATTATTTCAAGACAGGTAAAAACACAACTGAAACACAAGAAAAAGACTTGTGCAGTGTATAGAGAAGGTGCTGTGACTGCTCAAGTGTGTCAAGAGTGGTTTGAGAAGTTTCATGCTGAAGATTTCTCACTGGATGATGTTCCATGGTCGGGTAGACAGGTTGGAGTTGATAACAATCAAATTGAGACATTAATTGAGAACAATCAATGTTATTCCATGTGGGAAAGAGCAAACATACTCAAAATATCCAAATTAAGCAATGAAAATGATTTGCACCAGCTTGGTTATGTTAATTGCTTTGATGTTTGGGCTCCACATAAGTTAAATGGAAGAAAACCTTCTTGACTGCATTTCTGCATGTGATTCTCTATTTAATGAAAACATTCCGTTTTTAAAACAAATTATGACAGGCAATAAAAAGCGAATACCTCACAGTAATGGGAAATGGAAGAGATCATGGGGCAAGTGAAATGAACCATCACCAACCACACCAAAGGCTAGTCTTCATCTAAAAAAGGTGATGCTGTGTATATGGTGTGACTGGAAGGGAGCCCTCTATTATGAGCTCCTTCTGGAAAACCAAACAATTAATTCCAACAAGTACTGCTCCCAATTAGACCAATTCAAAGTGGCACTCCATGAAAAGCATCTGGAATTACTGAACAGAAAACAACATAATCTTCCATCAGGATAACCTAAGATCACATGCTTCTTTGATGACCAGGCGAAAACTGTTACAGCTTGCTGGGAAGTTCTGATTCATTCACTGTACTCACCAGACATTGCACCTTCAGATTTCCATTTATTTCAGTCTTTAAAAAATTCCCTTAATGGAAAAAAATTAAATTTCCTGAAGGCTGCAAAAGGCATGTGGAACAGTTCTTTGCTCAAAGAGGAAAAGTTTTGGGAAAATGGAGTTGCGAAGTTGACTGAAAGGCGGCAGAAGATAGTGGAACAAAACGGCAAATACGTTGTTCAATAAACTTACTGGTGTAAATGAAAAATGTGCCTTTTATTTTTGTTTTAAAACTGAATGAACTTTTTGGCAATCCTGTTTATTTGTTAAATAAATAAACTGGCACAGTCACAGAGCATAAGATTTAGGTAATTGTCCTTTCCTGTGACATGTATAAAACATTGCAACTATAGCAAATATATTCTTGCAAATTGCTCACAAACAATTAAGGTACTCATAAGTAAGTCCAAATATTGATATATGCATATCGGCTACACCAAAGCACAGAAAATATTTTTCCTGTATTCATATATCTCTAGCAACATGAGTAGTTTGTTTGCTTTCTTTAGGCTTGTATATGGCTCTACTCTATAATCCCACTGTGCCCGCAGAGCTCCTACTTCTTGTTTGCGTTCCTGCCTTATTTACAAGGCCATTGGCCATAGAGAGACCAGTGCTTAGATTGCCCCACCTAGCCACACAAATCATTTTATAGCCTCCACTTAGTTTTCTCCTCTCCTTCTTAAGGAATATGCCCCTTCTAAATGAGAATTTTTTTCCATTTTTCTTTTAATCAACATTTGTATAGACACCACTTATAATTAACTTCCACAAATAAGCCATCCTAGACAAAACCATAACCCCATATTTTCTTCCACAACCCCTTTAATGCTAACCTCACTCATAAAATATTTATAAGCTTGTCATTCATATTTTCCATGTGCAATCATTTTGTTTTGTATTAGTTTTGTCTCCCCATGTAGATGGTAACCTACTTGATAAGTGAGGTCTATTTCCTCTAAAAAGCTTTCCAATGCTTAATTAATAGATATTTGATCATTATGTTAATTATGATGGTATTGTACATTTAAGGGCAGAGAAGGTTAGAGCCCGTGCTTTCTGATACTGATCTATGTAGTGATTGTTAACTTTTTGGGTCATCGACCTTCCTGAGAAGCTTATAAAATCTATAGACTTTCTCCCAGTAAAATAGCACAAAATAACACAAAAAAATTTGCATACCATTTCAGAATATGGATCTTGGACTAGGATCCCTAACCTAAAATGACTTCAATTACCTTATTAAGTTCCCCAAAACAACAAAAGCATTATATTTTTTTAAACTGGGAAGCTTCCTCCAGGCATCTAGGAGGATAGAAAATTGTAGCAAGTAGTTGAGATGGGATTATTCACGAAGTTTACAAAAACAATAAATATAGTAACAGAACTCCAAGGGCAGGCTGATAACGGGAACTCCCTGGCCCTGAGACAGCCAATTTGGGTCTGAGCTGCAAGGACCACCTTTGCCCAGGACAGCAGTTTAGGAACAAAGTAATAAACTCTGGAAGACAAGCTGATAAAAGTGCAGGGCCTAGGCATCCTGGTGGGAGAAGAGAAAGAATTCCAGGAAGACACAGAGCAACTGTAGGGCTTGCAGTTTTGACCTCTCACCTCTTACAACCTCTGTCCCCAAGGAAAGGGTCACGTGCAATTGCATGAAATCACTAACACATGCAATTGACTTACAGATAAGGAAACGTTGGCATATGTGCTCCATTTCTTCTTTAAGACACTTAGCATCTTAAATATGCTTATTATTTAGGAGGAAATTTACTTATAATTCTACTTAAAATAGTAAAAAATTATATTTCCACTTTTTTAATTCACAGGTGAATTTTTCATTTCCAAGAACAATGTTAAGAACCTGAAGGAACCTTTCAAGTCACCAGTCAGACCCCTTTCTAATCTTTTCTATGCCCTTCTCAGACAGTCTTTAAAAATTAAAGTCACCCTGGCCAGTGTGGCTCAGTTGGCTGGAGCATTGTCCAGAAAACCAAAAGGTAGATGGTTTGATTCCTGGTCAGGGCACATATCCAGGTCATGGGTTCAGTCCCTAGTCAGAGCATGAACAAAATACAACCAACTGGCGTTTCTGTCTCATATTGATGTTTCTCTCCCTTTCTCCCTCCTTTCCTCTCTTTCTAAAACAAACAAACAAACAAACAAACAAACAAACAGACACCCCTCTCATCTTTCCTCTCTCTCTAAAAGCAATGAAAGAAAAAAAAGGTCTTCAGGTTAGGACAAAGATAAAATTAAATGCAACTATTACAGGTGATTTTTTTTCATCATTTATGCTTTACTATACCCTTCTTCACTGTTCTTATATTTATATGCCATCTTATGACTGAGAAAGGAAAGGGCTATGTGCCAAACAATGGAAATATAGAATGTAAAGAGTTAAAAAAAAAGTTCCTCCATATATGGTACATAATCACTAGTTTGCCCAGCGTCTATTTAAATTCAGAGTCTAAGTATTCTACATGCTCAAATACATTTAAGACTATTGGTCACAGAGGTCACAAGGAACATGATTCTAAAGATCAAACACCATTTGCTATGAGTCGCCCACTTCCAAAAAGTATCACAAGACTAATTAATTGCATGAAATCACTAACACCAAGTAGAAGCACCTGAAAAATTATATATTCAACTGGACTTTTTATTTGTCATGTATGGGAACTCCAGGAGACCCGCAAAGCTTTATTAGTTGAATAATAATAGTAGCTCAAGTAAATCAAGGTCAGTGTTTGTTGAATATTGATTTCCCTCAGTTTGTAAGAAGTGTAATTGTTTAGTTTTTTCTCATGGCTTCAGCTTTTCACCAAACCTTTCATTTAAAAAGTGAATATCAGAAGTGATCCTAACAGACTACAAAGTATCAGGTGAGATATTTAAAATTCCTGGAGACATAGACCCTGTGTTATTTAGCATATTACCTACTCTTGTCTGAGTTGGAAAGTCAAAAATGGTATCTTCCCTGTACAAGATATCTTCCAAATGCTGGTTGTAGATTGTAGCACACAAGAAGGAACAGGGTTTTTATAAAAATACTGTACAGAGTGCTTTAGCCTCTTAAATGGCAGATACTGAGAGTCAAATTGTCCACCAACACTTAGAAGGGACAATTGGGTAATATCAGAGTAAAATCAGAATAGATAATGATTGAATGTCATATGGTTTTGCTTATTCTCCTCTTCATTATTTATTTCTGAAATTCTATCTTTTTCTTCTTCCAAAATAATTTTTAGTACATGGATTTCTGTTAACAAGTCATATTTCTCCCTTTCTTTTACATTGATACGACTCTGTCTCGGTAAGTTAAAGTTTGGTGCCAAATTGAAAACCCTTTTCTGCCTCCTCTTTCTATTTGTTTACTGTAAGGCACTCTCTGGGATATATCCAGTTTAAGTGAGCAGCTTACAAAGAGACTTGTTTCTCTTTCTATGACTGAATTTATGATCTCAGCTACAAGTGACAAACCTTCATTTTCTATCAATAGCTTCTCCTCTATTAATGTTTCTGGACTGCTTCCTGGTCCTCATGCTCCTTCAGAAGTGGAGACCAATTTAATCAATTGCCCCTTCTTGTTAGGACAAGCCAGCTTTTGCCATCTATCTTTCTTTGATTTCTATTCCCTGATAAAGTTATGAGGTCCCTTAGGCCAGCTAATAGAGTAGGGTTATCTATCAGAGCTCAGCTATAATTCTTCACCAGATATATTATTTGAGGGGTGAAAAAAACCCAACTGTTTTTTGTTATATTTCCTCCTTGTTCCTTTCCTAAAACTTTGTCTCAATTTCTGGATCCATACGGACAGCTCAGAATTGTTGCTTTCGAAGACTTTCATCTACAGCCTCTCTCTTCTGCATAAATGAGCCTGGGGTTTCAGCAAATTGGTCTTAGATGTCTAATACCATGGTAAGCCCATTTCCAATGTGCTTGAAACATTGACTACCTTTTTGCCAGAGTAGTCATAACCTGCTACACAGGGAAGGTTTTGAGTCACTATTGGACAAGTAAGAGAGTTCTCATTTGGCCTCAAGGACAAACTTAGAAACAAGTCTTCCGTAGGGAGGTAATTCTTTCGTGTATTGACCAACTCAACTACAGACATAACATTTGGGAAACTGTCTTAAAGGTTTATATTTTCCCACATTTCATCTTTAAGGCCATTCCCTAAATATCCCAGATTGTTTCACAGATTACCAGTGAAGGTACACCTCAGTCTCTTTTGGTCACTTCAAGTCTTCATCTTTCCCTTCATTCTGAGATGGGTCCTGATAGTATGGCATAAAATAGTCTATAGTTTTGAATGAGGTTTCCTCCATAATTTCACTATGACTGTTCTGCTCTTTATTTCTTTTTCTGTTTCTCTTCTCTTTGGTTTTGCTGAGCCTGTGCTTGTTTTCTTGAAATGTCCATCTCTGAAATATAAAAGAATTAAGAAAATTTATAACAATAATTTGTAGACTATTAGCAAACTAAAACATTACACTCTTAATGTACAGGTTTACAATACATTAGTACCATGGCACACAACTGCTCCTGGCTAGATGGCTACTCTCTTGAGTAGCCACGCCCTCTGCTCCCTTTGCTTAGGGCTGCATATCCTCAAGGAGTCAGGGGAGTTTATTCCCAGTCAGTTTACATTCGAACAACTGTTACTATAATTAGGTAGTATGAACAAACGTTATGTAAACATGATGTCAGCCAATGGAATATGAGTACATGAAAGTTTCCATAAAAATTTAAACTGCCAAGAGATGCAAGACGGAGGAGGAGTGAATGGAAGTCACACAGACCTCCTCCCACAACCAATCTGAAATTACAACTAAATTGTGGAGAAGAAACAACTGAACAATAGCAAGAGAGAAGACTTATATCCTCAGACAGACAGAAGAATCAGCTTTAGCACAATCTGACTGGTAAGGAGTGTGGTGGAGACTCGAGAAGACATACCCACAGGCAGAAGCACCAGAGGGATATTTAAGTGGCCAAGTGGATCCTCCTGAGAAGAGTGGGGTCTAAACCATAAATGGGGATCCCCAGCCTACAGCACCCGAGCCCAAAAATTACACAGATAATAGCCGAGTGCAAAAAGTGGCAGGGTTGGTCTCTGCCAGAGACAGAGCAGGAGATGCAAAGAGCCATTTAAAGGGCCAATGCATAAATTTTTATTTGCAGCCACTAACCCTGGGCTCTGGCAAAGGTGCGGTCAGAGTGGAATAGTGAGGAAAGACTGGGGATGGAGGCTTTGGGGAGAAAACTGAGGAAGTAGCCAGTGGGATCCTGCTGCTGAGTCATCCCCCATAGAGCAGCAGCCATCTTCCTTAGGCAGACCACTCCCCTGAGCAGCAGCAGTCTGAGGGGAAACAATAGCCCTGACCCCAGAAGGGACTCTGCCATGGCCCTGTGGTGCTTAAGCCTGACTGCTGAGTGCAGAGTGGCAGTCACAGACAGTAGATCCATGGCAAAGGATGGGGAAAGAGTGGACTAGAGACGCTTTAGGAGAGACAGGAGGGAGGCTTTGGGGAGAGAACTGAGAAAGTAGCCAGCAGAATCCTGGTGCTGAGTCATACTCATATGGCAGCGGCCATCATGCTCAGGCAGACCACTCTCCTCCAAGAAACAGCAACATGAGGGGAAACAATAGCCCTGACCCCAGGAAGGATTCTGCCCTGCACTGTGATGCTTACGCCTGACTGCTGAGTGTAGAGTGACTAGAGTAACAACTGAAGGAGACACCCACAGAGAGTAGATTCCTGAAAGACTTCCTAAGGTCAGACAGGGTCAATATCTGACATTACCAAAGGCGGATCGAGAAATAACAGAGGTAAATACCAGAGGCTACCAAGACAAAATCTACAGTGGTCTCCATGATTTGATATATTTCCTTTGCTACATAGCTTTGTAACGTTCATTTCTTGTCCATCAAGTTTGTGCATATTAAGTCACTAGATTTGGTACTATAGTTTATTTCTCTTCTTTCTTATAATAGTCTTAATCTCTTTACAGCTTTATTAATACTGGTTCATTTGATGTTGACAGTGAGATTCAGGGGGGAGTTGTTTTTGCAGATGTGGGCTTGTATCCTGGGCTTTGTGGTTTGGTTCTGGCAGCACCTGCACAACAACACATAAGATGTGGTGGATAGAGTGACTCTCAGTCAACCACTGAAGGGTAGGAGCCACCAAAGAATGGCCAAACAACAATCAAAACCCAATTACTTCCAGAGTCAACATAAACAGCATAAAAACCATCCCAAGAACATCAGGTGCAGGAGATCAAGAAGACTGCACCACTGAATCTCACAGGTCCCCCACCATAGATGCTCATGCCACAAAGTCAGGAAGTCAAGATAGGTCCATTTAAAAAGCAGAAGCAAAAAAGAAGAGTCTCACAAATAATGGGAAGAAAAAGAAACACCCCTTCCCCCACAGAAAGGAAAGAAGGAATCCCCAAAAAGAGAACTAAATGAAATAGAGGCAAATAAACTATCAGATATTGAGTTCACAACAATGGTTACAAGGAAACTTAAAGAACTCAGTGAGAATTACGAAAAACTACAGGGAAACTATGAGGAACTTACTGAAAACTATATCAGCATGAAAAAGGACATAGAAACTATCAACAAGAGACAAGAGGAAATAAAGAATACAATTTCTGAATTGAAGAACACAGTAGAAGGAATCAAAAGCAGGCTAGATGAAGCAGAGGATCAAATCAGTGAGCTGGAGGATAAGGCAGAAAAAAGCTCCCAGAAAGAGCAAGAGAATGAAAAAAGGCTCAAAAAGAATGAACAGGGGTTAAGGGAAATGCAGGACAACCTGAAACGTAATAATATCCGTGTAATGGGCATACCAGAAAAGAAGAAGAGGAGCAAGGGATAGAGAACCTGTTTGAAAAAGTCATGATGGAAACTATTCGAGGAGAGAAAAAGTCACGTAAGTCCAGGAAACACAGAGGGTCCCAGTCAAGAGGAACCCAGTGAGGTCCACTCCAAGATGCATCATAATTAAAATGGCAAGTATCAAAGACAAACAGAGAATCCTAAAGGCAGCAAGGAGAAACAAGTAGTAACATACAAGGGAGCCCCGACACAGCTAACAGCTGACTCTTCAACAGAAACACTGCAAGGCAGAAGGGAATGGCAAGAAATATTCCAAGTCATGAAAAGCAAAGGCCCTCAACCAAGACTGTCTACCCAGAAAGGCTCTCAATTAAAGTGGAAGGCAAAATAAGGAGTTTCCCAGACAAAAGAAGGCTAAAGGAGTACACCTCCATCAAACCAGCACTGCAATATATGCTAAAAGAACCGCTTTAAGAATATGAAGAAAAAAAGTGAGAGAGAGAGAGAGAAAGAGAGAGAGAGAGAGAGAGAGAGGAACACAGGTACAAAAGGATAAAATGAATAAGTACTTATCAACAATAACCTTAAATGTAAATCAATCAAATGCTTCAATCAAAAGACATAGAATAGCCGAATGGATAAGAAAACATGACCCACATGTATGCTGCCTATAAGAGACCCACCGCAGAACAAAAGATCTACACAGACTGAAAGTGAAGGGTTGGAAAAAAAGAATCCAGGCAAGCGGGCAGGGGAAAAAGCTGGGGTAGCAATGCTTTTATCAGACAAACAAAGGCCATACAGAGACACAGAAGGACACTTCATAATACTCAAAGGAAGAATCCATCAAGAAGACATACGCATTGTAAACCTATATGCACCCAATGTAGGAGCACCCAAATATAGAAGGAAAATCTTGGAGGACTTCAAGAAAGATAGAGACAGCAACACTCTGATAGTAAGGGATTTTAACACCCTACTGTCAACAATGGATAGATCTTCCAAACAAAACATCAACAAGGATATTGTGGAACTGAATGACACATTAATCAAATGAACTTAACTGATATATATAGAACCTTTCATCCCAAAGAGGCAAAATACACATTTTTCCCAAATACACATGGAACATTTTCAAAGCTAGATCGCATGACAGGACACAAAACAAGCCTCAACAAGTTGAAGAAAAATGAAATCATAACAAGCATCTTCTCGGACCACAAGGTCTTGAAACTAGAAACCAACCTCAAGAAAAAAAACTCAAAAACAGTCAAACTCATGGAGACTGAATAGCCTGCTATTCAACAATGAATGAGTCAATAATGAAAGCAAAGAACAAATCAAAAAGTTCTGAAAACAAATAAAAATGAATACACAACAGTCCAAAACCTAAAGGACACAGCAAAGGCAGTCCTGGGAGGGAAGTTCATAGCAATACAGGCCTACCTAAAAATAGATAGAAACATTTCAAATAAACGACCTAACCCTACATCTTCAAGAACTGGAGAAACAAACAAAGCCCAGAAAGAGTAGAAGGAAGGAGATAATCAAGATCAGAGCACAACTGAATGACATAGAGACTAAAAGAATAATTCAAAGGATCAATAAATCCAGGAGCTGGTTCTTTGAAAAGATAAACAAAGTCGACAAGCCTTTAAGCCGACTCATCAGGAAAAAAATGGGAAAAGATCTAAATGAATACAATCAGAAATGAAAGAGGTGAAATTACAACTGATTCCACAGAAATACAAAGGAGTGTAAGAAATTACTATGAACAACTATATGGCAGGATATTTGAAAACCTGGGTGAAATGGACAAATTTCTAGGAAAAAACAATCTTTCAAAACTGAATGAAGAAGAAGAAAGTCTGAACAGACCAATAACAGCTGGCAAAATTGAAGCTGTAATCAAAAAACTCCCGGCACACAAAAGCCCTAGACCAGATGGTTTCATAGGAGAATTTTACAAAATATTTAAGGAAGAGCTAACCCCTGTCCTCCTCAGACTATTCCAAAAAATCCAAGAGGGAAGACTCCCATACTGTTTTTATGGACAGCATCATCCTAATCCCAAAACTACATAAAGACACAATAAAGAAAGAAAACTACAGACCAATAATGCTGATGAATATAGATGCTAAAATCCTCAAAAAAATATTGGCAAACCATATCGAGCAATACATTAAAAAGATCATCCACCATGATCAAGTGGGATTTATCCCAGGGATGCAGAGATGGTACAATAGTTGCAAGTGAATAAATGTAATACATTACATAAATAAAAGACAAAAATCACATGATCACATCAATAGATGTGGAAAAAGCAATTGATCAGGTACAGAACCCATATATGATCAAAACGCTCAGCTAAGTGGGAGGAAAGGGGCATACCTCAACATAATAAAGGCCATATATGAAAAACATATAGCTAACAACATACTTAACAGCCAAAAACTAAAACTTTTCCACTGAGATCAGGAACAAGGCAAGGATGTCAGATTTCACCACTTATATTCAACATAATATTGGAAGTCCTAGCCACAGCGATCAGACAAGAGAAATAAAAGGCATCCA